TATGACAAATCTTTAACCTTGCAGCTTCGGAATATGTGGATGGCTCTCTCTTGTTTGAGATCTTCTTGCTACCGAAATTGGTTTCACTTGATTTCTCTAATAATTATGGTTTGCTTCTTCTTGACAACATAATGTTTCGAATGATTGTGCATAACTTAACAGAATTAAGATTTCTTATCCTTGATTCTGTGAATATGTCTCTGGTTGTGCCTTCTTCCTTGCAAAACTTGACTTCCTCCTTGGAATATTTGAGCCTTAGTGCTTATAGTTTGCAAAGAAACTTTCCAAGCCAAGTTTTTCAGCTCCCATCTCTTCGGCTTATTGATCTAAGTCACAACCATTATTTAAGAGGTAGTTTGCTTGAGTCAAACTGGAGTAGTACCCTCAAGTATTTGTATCTCAAAAGCACAAGCTTCTCAAGAGAGTTGTCTCATTCAATCAGAATTTTTACACTCCTGGAGGAATTGGACCTTTTTTATTGTCAATTTTATGGATCAATTCCTAGATCTCTTGCAAATATTACAGAGATAACTTTCCTAGATTTTTCTTCTGACCTTTTGCAAGGGCAGATTCTGGATGTTATGGGAAAAATGCACAAGCTAACTCATTTGAGCTTTTCCAGTAACAAGTTTAGTGGTATAATTCGTGCATCAGTCTCCATCCTCACCCATCTTACTTTTTTGTCACTATCATCAAATAAGCTACTAGGTCGAGTACCATCTTGGTTGTTTTCTCTGCCTTCTTTATCCTATTTAGACCTCCATGATAATAGACTTACCAGACCTATTGATCATATTGAGATGCCTAATATCATTTTACAAGAAGTCTATTTGTCCAATAATGAAATAAGTGGTTCAATCTCTAGCTTTTTCTTTGATCTTGTGAATCTTAGTATAACCGACCTTTCTTCAACTAATTTAAGTGGCACTATTACACCCAACATGCTTTCGAGGCTTGAAGACCTTAATGATCTTGATCTTTCCAATAATCGTTTGCTGTCTTTGGGCAATAATGGCACTGTTGTCAACTATTCCTTTCTGAAACTTTTGTCTTTAAGATTCTCTTCTTGCAACATTCACAAGTTCCCAAGTTTCTTAAGGAAGGCAGAGAGTTTGCTAATGTTGGATATTTCCAAGAACAAGATTTCTGGTCAAATTCACAAATGGAGAATAGAAGGGATGCCATTGGATTACCTAAACCTTTCTTCTAACTTCTTGACTGGCATATATTTACTTGCTCTTGGATATCTTCTAATTGTTGAGCTCAGATCCAACTTACTACAAGGATCACTTCCCATTCTATCAACAACCTGGTATTTTATGTATCTCATCATTTCAGGGAATAATATAGCTGGTGAAATCCCTTCTTCTTATTGCAATTTGACTTCTCTTAGAGTTCTAGTCTTAGCTAATAATAGTTTGGGAGGGAAAATTCCAGAATGCCTTGGACACTTGAGTGATCTCTCCATCTTGGATCTGGGGATGAATAAGTTTCAAGGTAGAATCCCAAATTCATTTGTAAAAAACAGTTCCTTGAGAACTCTCAAGCTAAATGGCAACAAGTTGGAAGGGAGACTGCCATCATCTTTGGTTCATTGCAGCCAGCTGGAAGTTCTAGATGTGGGGAACAACCACTTGAATGACAGCTTTCCACAATGGTTAGGTTTTCTTCCAAGCCTACGAGTTCTCATCCTTCGATCTAATCTATTTCATGGTGTCATTAGCAATTCTATGCCTGCATCTCACTTCCCTCAGTTGAGAATCATTGATGTCTCGCAAAATAATTTCACGGGTCTCCTACCAAGTAAATATTTCAAACATTTGAAAGCTATGAGAGATGCAACTGGAGCTGATAAAGCCAAATTGGAATACATTGGTGATACTAATATTTATTATATGGATTCTGTGACGGTAATAATGAAAGGCTTAGAGGTGACGCTCGTAAGAATCTTCAAAGCTTTCACAACCATTGATTTCTCAAGCAATAGATTCCTTGGGCAGATTCCTGAAGAACTGGGAGAACTTAGTTCACTTGTATTGCTAAACTTGTCTCACAACAGTCTCACTGGTCAAATTCCATCATCGTGGGGGGGAATGACAGAACTTGAATCACTGGATCTCTCATCAAACAAGCTTAGAGGCAGGATTCCAGAGCAATTGACAAATCTGACATTCCTTTCAGTTTTGAAACTTTCATACAATGAACTTGCGGGCTACATACCTGAAGGGAAGCAATTCAACACTTTCTCAAATGATTCCTACATTGGGAACGATGGGTTGTGTGGATTACCATTGACAAAGAAATGCCACCCGGAAGAACCAGGAGCACCTCCATCAAAATTTGATAAGGAAGAAGACTCTGCCACGCTCTTTAATTGGAGGTTTGCATTGGCGGGCTATGGGTGTGGACTAGTGTTGGGACTTAGTCAGGGATACATCGCCTTCACTACAGGAAAACCTTGGTGGGTGGTGAAGA